AGTTTTCGTGGTGCATTCTAGCCGTTGGATTGGAAGCAATGTCAGTAGGATAGTGGGCCCACTCGAAAGGCAACTACTGTTACCGACCGCACTGGATTACTATCGCCCTTACACGTTCGGGACTCGGGTTAATTCTACTAGTGCCCCTAAATTTTATGGTCAGCTTTACTTTACCCCTTAAAACTTTTAAAACTCTCATTTTCCTCCTAAAAATTTTGAATTAGTCCCTCGTAATCTCTTTTGGTAGAATTTATGTTAAAATCATACAGAAAATTAAAGAGTTAAGTATGGTCAAGTAATTTTTTTTCATTTATTTTTAATAAAAGTTCAAACAAAAAAAATCATGCGGTCGCATTGCCTCTTTTTTTTTTCCTCTAAAAAAGAGGTTAAGTATAAATAATTCAAAATTTAGAGGACAATTTGATGGATTTTGAAAAATAATCTATCAGATTCTTCGTCATCTATTAGATTTCTCCCTGCTGGCTCGTGAAGGCAACCAGATAATTTGGTAGATTGTGACAATAATTTATCAAATTTTTCTTCAGCATCTGCTAGATTTCTCTCTGACACGCGATATCAATTTTTAATTCTTTTTGTTGAAAGTAAATCAAAATGATAATAATGTACTAAATAGAGGCATAGAATTAGGAGAGCTAGAATGAGAAAATAATACAAATAGATTATTTAGACTTAATTACACATCCCACAATTACCTATTGGATTGGAATATACTTAATACCTATAAATTCTCTCTCTTTTTTGGATTATTTTCATAAATCTCCCTCGAATTATGTACTCTATTTTAAAGTGCCCCTTGATGTTTTAAAATCGTTCAAAACACCTCTTGATGTAGAGAAAACAGATCAAACAACCCCTTCTGTTCAAATCCGTCTATAAATTTATCAGATATGCTGATGTGGCAGCTTATAGGGCCAGTAAAGTGCCCCTTGATGTTTTAAAATCGTTCAAAACACCTCTTAATGTAGAGAAAACAGATCAAACAATCCCTTCTATCTAAATCTGTCTATAAATTTATCATATATGCTAGTGTGGCAGCTTATAGGGCTAGTAAAGTGCCCCTTGATGTTTTAAAATGGTTCAAAACACCTCTTGATGTAGAGAAAACATATAAAACAACTTCTTCTGTCCAAATTTGTCTATAAATTTATCAGATATGCTGATGTGGCTGCTTATAGGGCCAGTTTGGTAGTGTTGTAAATTTTAAAAAAATTGTTGTTAGATATGCTAAAAAAAACAGTTGAGTGTTTAGTAAACTGTAATTATACAAGTGTTGCTGGTTTCAAAAGCAGTGTAATAGTGTTTGCTAAATTGTGATGTTAAATTATTGTGGGTAGTTAAGATGACCAAAATTGACATGATATGAAATTTAAATATTTATAATTTTATTTGTTATTAAGAAATACTTGTTTAACTTATAAAAAAAAAAGGAGAGAGAGAACTCAAAGAGAGAGAAGGGAGAGAAACGATGAGAGAGAACTCAAAGAGAGAAATGTGATGAGTCTGATAAGAGCCTTTAATAAAATTGTGGTAATTAAATAGGGGTAATTTGAGTTTTAAAAAAATTTATTAAAAGGATCTTATAGCTTCCCGCATTAGACATAAATAAAAACAGCCTTCCACCGACTTTTTCTTGTAGGAACCCCCAAATTTCTTGCACAATCACTTTGAGGTTTTTTACCAAACGTAATTTAACTCAAAACTTAATAAAAAAGAGAGAAAGAGAGAAATATATCAAGACTTGAGATGAATTAAAATTAATAGGTCAATAGTTTACATAAATTAATAAATAGGTCAAATTACTGTTTTTGTCCATAACTTGTCTGGTTATAAACCATAACTTGATAAGTTATTGTCCATAATTGTCCATAACTTGTCTAGCTATAAACCATAACTTGACAAGTTTATCCATAACTTATCTGATTATGAACCATAACTTGACAAGTTATGACCTATTAATTTCTATAACTAAAAATTGGCCTATATACTTTCTTAAACTTTTCATATTGGCCTATTTTCTATTATTTCTCATAAAAAAGTGTTAAAGCATTACCAAACCGGGCCATATTACAATATTGTTGGGACGTTTGGTTAGAAGATTCAAACCATGATTTGAATCATGGTTCATGATTTATTACAGAATTTTTTCTCATAAAAAATATACGTAAATAAAAAATAATTCTAATAATATGATTCTAATCCGAAGATCAATTATTAGAAAGTAATAAACAAACTCAGGAATTTTTTTTCCTGGTAAAACAAACTCAGAATTTCATTATTAAAAGATAAATAAATAAAAAAATAATATTCCTCACGATCCAAACCCAAAAACAACTCTCTCGGATCTCTCTCCCTCTAAGATACTGTTCACCTTGTTCAAGAACAACCCAGACATTCAATATTGGATTCCATGTTGAGCTTTTTTTATTCTGATTCTTTTTGGTCTGTTCCGGAAAACAAGGGATGAATCCATAGCCAGAGTTATATCTCTTGCTGATCTTGTCTCTTTCCCATTGCAAACACCCACTTGTACAGACGATGAACACCAGCACACCTCCTTCCCTTTTTCTTCGCAGCCAAACGGGCTTTTGATCAGTACGAACGAAAAGGCGACGATGGAAAACGTTAACGGAACAAAACTACCACCACCTGCTGCGAGCCAAGCCGATCCAGCAAAATCAAAATCAAATTTCGGCTGTCAAACGACGGTCAATTGGGCGGGCACAGGTTCGGAGGGCGGAGATGGGCGGACACCGACGGTCAGTGCGGACCTGGGTTTAGATTTATTTATTTATTATTATTTTTTTAATAATTTTGAGTGGAGAGTTCTTTGATTTTGTATATTAATATAAAAAAGAGTTCTCTAATTCATTTTGACATTAAAAATAATTTGTTTAAATTAAAAGAAAAAAAACCTTTAAATTTATGTCACATCAACAAATCCGTTAGTATTATAAAAGGAAGTAGACGGATGTGATATTTTGAATTGATTTCTATATATTAGGGGTATTTTGAAACATTTTAAAAAATTAAGGGAAGTAGACGGATGTGATATTTTGAATTGATTTCTATATATTAGGGATATTTTAAAACATTTTAAAAAATTAAGAGACATTTTAAAAATAAGGTATATAGTTTGAGAGTATTTATGAAAATTTTTTTTTTTTTTTTGAAAAAAGTGTTACTATAATTTTTTTGGCATGCATTCAACCTTGCATATGGTATTTTGAATTTTAGTCCAAGTCAAGCAAAGAGTTCCCCACATCGTAACTGAAGAAAGTAACAATAACCATAAGTGACATTAAGGAACAATAACCCTATAGAATTTGAACATAAAATTAAAACAAAATTTAATAGAAAACAACTTATATCAAAGACATGTTTGGAAACACATCACATCAATTAAAGAAGAATCATTATAATGAACTAAACGAACTTTAATTGACCAAAAAACTTGCCTCAACAAAAAAAAAAAGTACACATCTTATTAAGTAATCTTGATAAACCTTAAACTTGATCAAAAACCACGAGTGGTAACTATTTGGCAATATTGACTTATCAGCCTTTGGTTTGTTGAACCATGCTCATGAGAATACCACTGTCATTGTCATTGTCGTTTGTTAGGTGATGAATCGTAATTTGGGTCTTGAGAATCTTATAATAGTACTGGGTCATAATTTTGTTGATTTTGTGTGCCTTATTGGGATGATGATGCTGCAGCCACTTGTACAGACGATGAACACCAGCACACCTCCTTCCCTTTTTCTTCGCAGCCAAACGGGCTTTTGATCAGTACGAACGAAAAGGCGACGATGGAAAACGTTAACGGAACAAAACTACCACCACCTGCTGCGAGCCAAGCCGATCCAGCAAAATCAAAATCAAATTTCGGCTGTCAAACGACGGTCAATTGGGCGGGCACAGGTTCGGAGGGCGGAGATGGGCGGACACCGACGGTCAGTGCGGACCTGGGTTTAGATTTATTTATTTATTATTATTTTTTTAATAATTTTGAGTGGAGAGTTCTTTGATTTTGTATATTAATATAAAAAAGAGTTCTCTAATTCATTTTGACATTAAAAATAATTTGTTTAAATTAAAAGAAAAAAAACCTTTAAATTTATGTCACATCAACAAATCCGTTAGTATTATAAAAGGAAGTAGACGGATGTGATATTTTGAATTGATTTCTATATATTAGGGGTATTTTGAAACATTTTAAAAAATTAAGGGAAGTAGACGGATGTGATATTTTGAATTGATTTCTATATATTAGGGATATTTTAAAACATTTTAAAAAATTAAGAGACATTTTAAAAATAAGGTATATAGTTTGAGAGTATTTATGAAAATTTTTTTTTTTTTTTTGAAAAAAGTGTTACTATAATTTTTTTGGCATGCATTCAACCTTGCATATGGTATTTTGAATTTTAGTCCAAGTCAAGCAAAGAGTTCCCCACATCGTAACTGAAGAAAGTAACAATAACCATAAGTGACATTAAGGAACAATAACCCTATAGAATTTGAACATAAAATTAAAACAAAATTTAATAGAAAACAACTTATATCAAAGACATGTTTGGAAACACATCACATCAATTAAAGAAGAATCATTATAATGAACTAAACGAACTTTAATTGACCAAAAAACTTGCCTCAACAAAAAAAAAAAGTACACATCTTATTAAGTAATCTTGATAAACCTTAAACTTGATCAAAAACCACGAGTGGTAACTATTTGGCAATATTGACTTATCAGCCTTTGGTTTGTTGAACCATGCTCATGAGAATACCACTGTCATTGTCATTGTCGTTTGTTAGGTGATGAATCGTAATTTGGGTCTTGAGAATCTTATAATAGTACTGGGTCATAATTTTGTTGATTTTGTGTGCCTTATTGGGATGATGATGCTGCAGTATCTTCTTCTTCAAAGCATCGACTGTTGTTGCTGATGGTAAAGATGTTGTACGGTCCATAAATTTTAGTGGGTGAAGCTATTGCAGAGTTGATACTTGGCGGTAGAACAAGCTTTGGTTGATATCCATTTTCTCTGCACAGACAACGACAACAAAAGTGCATTTTCAAGCTCAATCGAAACCTCTCTTTTAATCACTGACACAATATACTCCATGGACGCAGCATCACATGTCAACGTGATAGGACCATCTCCCGGTAGCCCAAACTCTTCCTCAGACATTCTCAAGAGCTCTCTGAAAATGGTGCAATTCAAGCATGTCAATGGAACAACAAAACGTCTCTTATCGGCCGAGTAAACAACAAAATGGCCCTTGTGAGGTAAACCACCACCACCACCACGGACAATATGGCTCATTCTAGGCAACGAGATTGTTCTTCTTCTCCTCTCTACGCCGGCAATCTTCTGCCATTTCATCGCGATGGCTACGAGTCTTTTCAAGGTGATCACCATAATTGGTAATTTTAATTTCTTGGACCAAAAAAAAAAAAAAATGACTCAGTTGATATGAGCCTTTTTTTTTTGTTATTTGGTTGCTAAAACAAGTGGAGTGGTACAAGGTGTCTTTTGCCCAAGAAAGAACTTGTAGTCTTATTATATAATACATGATGAGATTGAGGATAATTATGTGGTTTCTCCAAGTTTCAACAAAACCATGTGCCGATCGGGTAGGAGAAATGGTTTTGGGCGTGGGCTTGTTTTGTACTTTTATTGAGCTTTCACGATCAACAATTTTTGTGGGGGCCACTATTTCTTCTTATTACGTACAGATCTTTGGACATTTCAAGCTTACATAAAAGTTTTTTCTTTGTAAGCCATTACTTTCAAGCTAGATGTACATTAAGATAATTTTGATATAGCTTTGATCACATTGCGTGGACTTCAGTACCAAGTGTTAGATGCGGAAATGCATGTGAAGAAACAGTAACATGGAATTTATTATTATAAGTTTGTACAGCAAAAAGGCCAAGCTGACCGTGATTTTCAAAACAATCATAAAATGGTTTTTGTCTCGGCTCTATTGTAGTATTGTACCTTAGAAATTTTTTTCTAAATGGTTCGAAGTGAACGTGAAGATCAATTATTTATAATGTCCTTTTTGGATCAAACCAGTTGTGCTGAGATTTACGTTTGATCCCAACATGATCCGAACAATATTTTTATATTTCGGTTCCCATGCAAATATATTTGGTTAAATTTATCAAAAAAAAAAAACTATTTGTACAAATCAAATTAGTCAGAAAGATTTAAAAGCTGATCAAGTGACTCTTAATTTGGTAAACTCTACTTCTCCAGAAAAGAAATCTCCCTCTTTAATGGCTTGGAATATATGCAAGTAGTTGATAATCCAGAAAGTTCCGAGATTTACAAACATGAAAAACGTCCTATACATGTGTGTATATACTTATATATATATATATATATTTATATTTTCTGTTGTTGGGATACATGAGTTGGGGAACGCACGCGTGTAAACATATAAATAATGAAGCTGAGCTTTTTTGACAAGTAATGAAGGCGAGCTTTTATAGCGGCAATGTTTTGGACCATTTCTAATGGGTGATGAATCGCACGTATTTTGTTGAGACAATTATTTCAGTTTTGTATAATTCATCTCTGAGGCGGATTGATTTGATATGCGGGTCTCACTATAACACAGAAATCTATCACGATACTATCCACGTTATATGTCTGTTCAATATCATTTTTCCGAAGAAACTAAACATGTACTTCATCAACTCTTTCAGCTTCAAACAAAGCATTATAACATATAATATATGTTGGAGCCAAATTTCGCAACCGTCTCAAAAAATAAGGGTCAATCATAGAATTGGCTCATAAAATATCCTTGAGCCTCCGATAGCTTGCCGATCCAGCGGGTCGTCAAACGAGCTTCCTACGAACGACATACCATTTATCAAATAAGTTGTCCCTCGAATAAGGAATAAGTTGTCTAAACGACTCTAGCACATCAGGAACAAGCCGCGAGCTAACTAACAGCTCCTTGGACAAGCTGCCCAATTGCTTAGCTGACTTGACACGCAAACTACTTGTTTGAATTTCAAATATCCTTCTCCAACAAGAAGATTAACCAGAAGGATATTCTCATATCAAATCATTTATTCAAATGGAAAAGCATATCAAGAGAGATCTTAATTTAAAATTCAAATTAGAATCCTTATCTAAGGAGGATTCCAGTGGTCAAGCCTATAAGAAGGGAGCAAATTATGGCCAAAGGAGGACTTCTCACGTATTATTCACCTCCTACACGCACAAGAAGCAAGCCCTACCCTCCAAATACAATTCTACATGTTTTCCTAGGCATTCAGAGCATATTTTGTGGAGTTTAGGACTAGATTTCCCCAGAGCTCTCATATTATCCTTGTTTTCCCGAATTCCCTTCTTCTCTTCTCCTCTTCTTGCTCTCAAACGGCATTGTATTTATTCTTTTATTATAGTAGAAGCATACTGAAGATCCGTAGCTCTCATTAATGAGCGAATCTTTATAGATTTTCGTGTCTCTATCTTGTTTTATTTTCCTGTATTTATTTACTGTGATCCGATACTAACACCACGAATCGTGCTGATTTCATATAAAATCAAGTTTCACTATACTTACTATATATGTTTACATATTATATTATATACGGAAATGCTACACACATGCATTTTTGAAATTAATATTGTTTTGCTTTAAGTGTTTCTGAGACAAGTTGATCAAGTTATATGGCTATTCATGAAGTCATAATAATTATTATAGGTCGCTTAAAGTTAAAATTGATCTGTCGATAGCTAAATTTTCTACTCTGACTGTTCAAGATCTCTCTTTGAGTGTTTCTGAGACAAGTTGATCAAGTTATATGGCTTATTCATGAAGTCATAACAATTATTATAGGTCGCTTAAAGTTAAAATTGATCTGTCGATAGGTAAATCTTCTACTCTGACTGTTCAAGATCTCTCTCTTTCTCTCTCTCTAATGGAAGGGGATATCAATAATTGTGTACAAAGGAATATCTTTGCTCTCTAATATTTATAGATGTATCGTGAAGCCTAGCTTGTCTACTTGCGTTCAGAAGCTAAGTTAGTTAACCGATCATTGCTTTAATTAACAACTCCAAAGATAATAATATTTCTTAGACCCCAATTCTACAGCGAAAGTAGAAATATCTATGTTTAAAGTTTTTTTTTTTTTTTTTTTTTTGGGTTTCACTTCGATCTTCGTCAATAACCAAAAATAAGTAAATTAGGAGATGTTTGGTTGGAGGATTCATACCATGATTTGAATCATAGTTTATGATTCGCTACAGTATTTTCTCTCACAAAAAATACACGTAAATCGACAATGATTCTAATCACATGATTCTAATTCATGAACCAAACGTCTCTTTAGATGCATGATTCAACCGACAACGTCAATCAAGGTTCTGCCTTATCATTTCCGGCAAGCTACAGAACACAAGTCCAGCTCTAGCCACAAATAAGACCATTCACTTGTACAACAACTTGTAAAAAGCACATGCTTGCTGGTTTTCTTGGGTTTTTTTTCCACTTTTTGAAGTCCACAATATAATCAAAGGACCATGACTGCTGATTTTTATATCTAAGTAGTACGTAATATAGAGTAATTTGAGAGGCCTTGGTGACACTTATTCACCGATTCGAGCTTTCAGTTCTAAGTTTCTACAGTAAAAAGCTCTCAAAAAATATCACATCTAACTTCTTCTGTTACAGTGAAAAGCTTTCAGAAAATGTCACATCTAAACTCGAATTGAAAATTCGAATCCGCGAAGTGAACGAGACGATATAATCTTGCATATGATTAATGGAAACGATCACTAAGAGGTGTATTTTTCTTATAGTATACATGACATTAGCCTGGTGTACGTCTCTCTTGATAGTTGGTTCTAAGCATTTTTGGAGCATCAAGCACATCAAAATAGATATTTAACGAAAATTTTTCGTTTTGTCAAATAGAAATTTTAAATTCATTGGTTAACTCTTTCTGCCTATCAACAAAATCTTGCTCGTTTATTCCTTTGATGTAGATTCTCTCTTCTTTTCATGTTTGGGATGGTATTAATAATAAACTGAGATATCAATAATTGAGCCAGAACAGAGTGGATGTATGAATCATGTATGGAGTAGTGAGTAGAAATTATCATATCTTAGGGGACTTGGCGTTGGTGCTTTGCTAGGGAAAAAAAGAATACAAGACCCGTGGTTAAATCTCTCTCTGGCCCTACAGCTACAAGAAATGCACAAAAGAAAAACAAATGGAAGAGAGAGATATAATCAAAGCCCGTTTAGTTCATGGATTAAAACTATGTGATTAAAACTATTTTTAATTTACGTGTATTTTTTATGAAAAAAAATACTGTAACGAACTACAAATCATGATTCGAATCAGGGAACGAATCCCTTTACCAAACGGGAACTAAGAAGTAAAATTAAAGAGATTGGGATAAGAGAAACTATTCATAATTTGTTAATGGACAAAAAACCAACTAGACGGAAAATAATAGGGGCAAAACATGAGCAAAAAAGTGAATACATAGGTATTATCAGAAGCATGATTAATCTCAATGTCAAAGCCAATAAGAAGAGATGGTATGGTATACTTTTAATTTACAGCTCAAAAGGTTGAATTCGACGATGAACCTGTAAAATTACATTATTTTATTTATTTATTTATATTTGCACCTAGATCTGCTGATTGCTATAATGCACCAGAGAGGTTCAAAGTTTGGAGGTTGCAAGTTTAATAAGATCTTTCCTCAAAATCTTGCCCGAAGCATTCTTGAGTATGGATGATACAAATGTCACTCTTCGGATTCTCTTGTATGGAGCCACCTGTGTGAACAACACCATTTTTATTCACAATTGTTTTTCTTTTCCACAAAAACTCGTAATACCACACTTTAAAGTATAAACTCACCAGTTTCCCTATGAAGTCGATGACTTCAGTTTCAGATAATTTACTTCCACCTTTTCTAACCACGTATGCCACGGGATACTGTCCCACCTCCTTATCAGGATATCTGAAATTAAATATAGCAAAATCAGACATTCGCAATTGTATCTATACACGGGGAAATAACTAAGAATTCGTTTATTTCACCGATTTGAGTTTAAAATTTGAGTTTTGCTACAGTAAAAATCTCTCAGAAACAGTCACATCTAACTTTTTTACTACAGTAAAAAGTTCTTACATAAAATCACACGTCAACTCGAATCAACGAACTAAACGGGCTATAATATTGTAAAGTTTTAACACGTTACACAACATATATAGAGAGAAGAGACATACGGTATAACAGCAGAGTCAGAAATTTCTGGATGAGAAAGTAATAAGGCCTCAAGTTCTGCCGGGGGCACCTGTCATATTGATAAAAACTTAATAAGAGCATCTTCTTAGAGTGTATATTCATATCACGTGTTCAATTTTTGATGTTCTAAATAGTATTTAACTAACCACATTTTTTTCATATCATTAATGTACAAACATAAAAGTCATTTTAAAATCATTTCAACAATATTTACATGACTAACATGATATGATTAGTTAGCTTTTTTAATCAGATAGATGATTTAAGTCTTCTTAGAGTGACTATCTCCTCGTCAAGGCCAATTGGAAGAATACATTAAGCAACATTTTATTCACCTGATAACCCTTGTATTTGATCAGCTCTTTTAGCCTATCAACCACAAAAAGGAATCCATCATCATCAATGTAGCAGAGGTCACCCGTTCTTAACCATCCCTCCGAGTGAAGAGTTGATGAAGTCGCTTCTTCATTACTGAAATAACCTGTAGCAGATGCCGTTATAACTATCAATCAGTTACAAGTTCATAAAAGTTTCTTTTTTTAAAGAGATTCTCTAATGCGTTAAGTCAATTTTTCTAATCGTTAAATCTGCATACCTTTAATTTTTACATGATTTTATGCAGAGCTAACGGACAAAAAACCTGACTTACCGATATATTGACATGTCAAAAAATGTCTCTTTTTTAAGGGCCCTCTCAATAAGTAAAAAATTACAACGACCCAGCACAATTATAAATTATTGATTTTATTATGTTTGATAACCGATGTGAGGCGACAGAGAGACAAGGAAACGCCCAACAGAAAAATGAGTGGGGTGACGGAAAATGTAATGAAACATAAACCATCCCTTTTTTCGTTTCATGGCTTGACTAGTTGAGATAGGAACACAATTGGTGTTTGGTTCATGGGTTCATTCGGTTTTGAACCCATTGTGAACTAGTATGAAGTTGGTGAAATCAAGGAATAATAAACGTCTGTTTAGTTCGCTTATTCGAGTTTTTAATTAGAGTTGAAATGTGACTTTATGTAAAAAATTTTTACTGTATTAAAAAAATTAAATGTGACTATTTTTAAAAAAAATTTACTGCAGTAAAACTCAAATCAGTGAAATAAACGGAATCATAGTAAATTTTAACCTTATTTAATTCATAAATTTAAGTTTTAAATTCGAATTACGATGTGATTTTATATAAGAATTTTTTATTAAAAATTTAAATTAGTAAAATAGAGAGTCAAGTAATCATTTCATTTCAGAAAAAAAAATAGTTGAGATAGGAACACAATTGGTGTTTGGTTCATGGGTTCATTCGGTTTTGAACCCATTGTGAACTAGTATGAAGTTGGTGAAATCAAGGAATAATAAACGTCTGTTTAGTTCGCTTATTCGAGTTTTTAATTAGAGTTAAAATGTGATTTTATGTGAGAACTTTTTACTGTATTAAATAAATTAAATGTGACTATTTTTAAAAAAATTTTACTGTAACAAAACTCGAATCAGTGAAATAATCAGGATTATAGTAAATTTTGACCTCATTTAATTCACAAATTTAAGTTTTAAATTCAAATTACGATGTGATTTTATATAAGAATTTTTTACTAAAAATTTAAATTAGTAAAATAGAGAGTCAAGTAATCATTTCATTTCAGAAAAAAAAAAGGTTAAATAAGTATTCTGCTGTTTTCTAACTAGTCTGATGCGCTACAAGCCAAGCGCTTAAAGTGGCAGGGAGATATTTTCATCTTGAAAAGGCCAAATAATAACCTCTCCACTAACTCAGGGAAGATGAAAAAAAAAAAAAAAAAAAAACACACACCTTTAATAATTGAACGTTCAATTATTTTCAGCATGGCTTGACAAGCCAGTCCACAGCAATAATGTTTACTATCACAATCAAAATCAATCACCAATTTATGACTTGTTCATTTTGTTGATTTGAGTTTATAATTCGAATAAAAATGTAATTTTATGTGAAAATTTTTTATTATAATAAAAAAAATTAAATGTGACTGTTTTTAAAATTTTTTTAAAGTGTAATAAAACTCAAATTTTAAACTCAAATCAGTAAAATGAACGTGACATTATTTAGTCACACACCCACTAATTTCGCTTAACAAAGAAGACAATTTGTTTCTAAATCTCCATCACGTTTTTTTCCTTGAAGATATGTACATATCCAAATAATGTCTATACTCAAAGAATAAAGAAACATGCATTCTATAAGAAAATAGTCAATTTTCTAATCATTAAATCTGCATATCTTTAATTTTTATATGATTTTATGTAGATTTAACGGATAAAAAACCTGACCTACCGATCTATTGACATGTCAAAAAATGTCTCTTTTTTAAGGGCCCTCTCAATAAGTAAAAAATTACAACGACCCAGTACAATTATGAATTATTGATTTTATTATGTTTGATAACCGATGTGAGGCGACAGAGAGACAAGGAAACGCCCAACAGAAAAATGAGTGGGGTGACGGAAAATGTAATGAAACATAAACCATCCCTTTTTTCGTTTCATGGCTTGACTAGTTGAGATAGGAACACAATTGGTGTTTGGTTCATGGGTTCATTCGGTTTTGAACCCATTGTGAACTAGTCTGAAGTTGGTGAAATCAAGGAATAATAAGCGTCTGTTTAGTTCGCTTATTCGAGTTTTTAATTAGAGTTGAAATGTGACTTTATGTAAAAAATTTTTACTGTATTAAAAAAATTAAATGTGACTATTTTTAAAAAAAATTTACTGCAGTAAAACTCAAATCAGTGAAATAAACGGAATCATAGTAAATTTTAACCTTATTTAATTCATAAATTTAAGTTTTAAATTCGAATTACGATGTGATTTTATATAAGAATTTTTTATTAAAAATTTAAATTAGTAAAATAGAGAGTCAAGTAATCATTTCATTTCAGAAAAAAAAAAGGTTAAATAAGTATTCTGCTGTTTTCTAACTAGTCTGATGCGCTACAAGCCAAGCGCTTAAAGTGGCAGGGGGAGTATTTCATCTTGAAAAGGCCAAATAATAACCTCTCCACTAACTCAGGGAAGATGAAAAAAAAAAAAAAAAAAAAACACACACCTTTAATAATTGAACGTTCAATTATTTTCAGCATGGCTTGACAAGCCAGTCCACAGCAATAATGTTTACCATCACAATCAAAATCAATCACTAATTCATGACTTGTTCATTTTGTTGATTTGAGTTTATAATTTGAATAAAGATGTAATTTTATGTGAAAATTTTTTACTATAACAAAAAAATTAAATGTGACTATTTTTAAAAATTTTTTAAAGTGTAATAAAACTTAAATTTTAAACTCAAATTAGTAAAATGAACATGATATTATTTAGTCACACACCCACTAATTTCGCTTAACAAAGAAGACAATTTGTTTCTAAATCTCCATCACGTTTTTTTCCTTGAAGATATGTACATATCCAAATAATGTCTATACTCAAAGAATAAAGAAACATGCATTCTATAAGAAAATAAGAATAACAATAATAATAATAAATAAAAAGATCAGAACACGCTTCACAAAATAAAACCAGTATCCACCAGGACGCTTTTGTTGGACTTGTATGACACCATGAAATGGGATAAGAATCGGATTAGATTAATATCAGATATTGAAGCCCGAAATCCTTCATAAAAACAGTGATGAAAAATGAAATTATAGACTAAAACGTCAAACAAACAGAGAGAATCACAAAGCAAACCAATAATTAACCATGCCTTTCTTACCAAAATCAACAATAAATAAACAAACCACGCCATTCTTACAAAATAAGATAAAATAGAAAATATAAATACCTTTCATGATTGTGGGACCCCTGAGCCAAAGCTCACCAGTCCGGTTCACTGGCAAAGCCTCTCCTGTCTCCGGGTCAACGATCTTGGCCTCCATGCTCGGAGACAGCAGCCCCGCCGTGCCGTACCTCCGGCTCTCCTCGAGCGAGTCCGTCGAGGCTCCAATCCCCGTCGACTCCGTCAAGCCGTAGCCCTGAAGAATCTTCACCGACGGAAACTTCTCCACGAACCCCTCCGTCACCTCCTTACTCAGCGGCGCCCCGCCGGAGAGTACCGAGTGCAGCGTCCTCAGATCGTACTTCGCCTTTATCTTCTCCGCGCTGTTAAGCAGCGCCATCAGAATCGGCGGCACCAGCGGGAGGTACGTCGCCCTGTACTTCTCTATCGCCGACAGCATGTCGTGGATCTCGAACTTCGAGAGCACCACGATCGTCGATCCCGACGAGAGAAGCCCCATCGCGAAGGCCGCCAAGCCGTAGATGTGGAACATCGGGACTGTGCAGATGAAGGTCTGCTCTCCTTCATCGGCGCCGAAACGGCCGAGAATTGTCTGAACCATGGCGATCAGATTCCGGTGAGAGGAAACCACTCCTTTGCTCTCTCCGGTCGTGCCGGAGGAGTAAAGCAAAGTGGCCGTGTCGTCCTGGTCGACTCGGTACCCGACTCGCTTCGCGCTCGGCTCCTTTTTCATCATTTCCCCCAAAGAGAAGACTATTCTGAGGTTTTTATTCGACAAGCTCTGTTTTCCGACGTCGTCGTCGATGAGGACGATTGGGAGATTTGACCCGACGATTTTGGGGATGAGTTGGAGAGTGGTGAAGGCGAGGACGGGTTTGGAATCGGCGATTTGCTTGGCGATTTCTCGGGAGGTGTTGAGGGGGTTGGTGGTGGTTATGACGGCGCCGAGGGACATCACGGCGAGGCAGACAACGGGGAAGACGATGGAGTTTGGTGAGAGGAGGAGGATGACGTCACCCTTTCGGATCCCCATGTCAGTGGAGAGACACGTGGCGACGGAATAGACGGCTCTCCAGAGCTGGGGGAAAGTGAGGTGGCGGCCGGTGGCGGCGTCAACGAAAGCAATCTTGCCATTGTGGGCCCGGGAGGATATGAATGTGGCGATGTCCACGGATTGGTTCTGTGGGAGCGCAACCGGCGTGCGTTTGCTGTAGAAGATGGAATTGGATTTGCAGAAACCGCTTCTCTTGTCGACCGTTGGGTTACTAATTTTCTCCATGGAAATGGAATAATAGTTCTTCTGCTTCTCTCTTTCTTGTTGTCCGATTTTCTGAGTTCTGATTTCTAATGAGTGAAATGAACAGTTTGAAGAACTTTTAATACTAGTTAATGTCGGATACTTTGACCTGTGGACTGGGAACTTTGAACTTGGATTGGCTGCTTTGGGGGCTCTAGTTTCACGTTTACACGGTCTCAGCAGTCCACCGGCCAATTACAATTTGACAAGAGGTTTTTTTCTATTAAAAAAATATGATAGTACACTTTAGTCACGTTTATTTCACCCCATAATAAAAAACTTTAAAATATAATTACATTTAATTTTTTTATTATAATAAAAAATTTTTACATAAAATCACATCACAATTTAAATTAAAAAATTAAATCAACAAAATAAATAGACCCTCTATATCTCCTAACTCTTTTTATTATAACAAATAATCTCAGACACCAAATATTTAGAAAGATTAGTCTCGTTCGTCTCGCTGATTCGAGTTTTGTTATAGTAAAAAATTCTCATAAACAGTCACATATAATTTTTTTACTATAGTAAAAAATTTTTATATAAAATCATATCTTAACTCAAATTCTAAACTCAAATCAGCGAAACGAACGAGGCCAGCCCATTCTAATTTGACAAATGGCGTTTGATGTCTAGAAAGCTAGATACCATGTGCCAATTTTATAAGATTTTTTCAATCACATGGCAAAATATAAATTGGATTTATTTCTTTAGCCCAAAAAACAAGGAACCATTGATTTCTGCGGTTTTTCTTTTCTCTTTTTTGTTTGTTTCCCTAATCCCCTATTTATGGTGAACCTTTAAATTTGGACCTGTTCTATTTTGGGTCGCTCCGCGGACATCCTAAAGTTCGGGACTAATTTCCTCGTTGGCCGGTACATTTCAGGAAATGCAAGTACATTTTATATTACTTGTAATTACACATAATTCTCATATCAGTAATGATTTATCAATTATATTGAGAAAATTATTATTTAATATTTAAAATTTAGTAATATGTAAGTATATGACTAGGTCCTGTTTAGTTCGCTGATTCGAGTTGAGATGTGATTCTATGTGAGAGCTTTTTACTGTAATAAAAAAGTTAAATGTGATTGTTTGTGAGAACTTTTTACTGTAGCAAAACTCGAATTAAAGCCACGTTTGTACGCACTCTATATGTTAAAAAGTACTATTATTTTAAGTCATCTTGATAAATTGAATAAAGTTATTATTGATTTAGATAATATTAATGTGAAAATTGAATATGGGAACCAGGTCTTAATTTTGCTACGTTCTTTACCTCAATCATTTAAGCATTTGTTGGATAATTGTTTGTATGGAAAAGACATTATCTACCCCCTGGATGTTAAGGCGGTTTTGAATTCTAAAGAATTAAAGAAAACCGTTTGGACAAAAGTTCAATCTAGTATTTTATTAGGTAAAGATAGAAAAAATGAGAAAGACCAAACGAATAATGGATATTAGTCGAATAACAGAAAAAATGTTGATAATATTGTAAGCAATAGATTTCCTAAATATTAAAGTGAAAAAAGAGATTAGCAATAAGCCCTATGTCGAGAATAAATCATTAGTTTAGGGCCGAGCCTAACAATGAGTTTGTTCTATATGTATTTAATGATATGTTGGCCCCGTTCATTTTGCTGATTCGAGTTTAGAATTTGAGTTTTTTTACAGTAAAAAGCTCTCACAAACAATCACATCTAACTTTTTTACCACAGTAAAAAACTCTTACATAAAGTCACATCTCAACTCGAATTAAAAACTCGAATCAGTTAACTAAACGGGTTTGAGTTCTTAATTTTGGGCGTTCTCAAAATTGGTTTGTTAATTACCAAACTATTAATAAGGGTGTTGTCTTTATGGATGATGACGGTGCAAGATTTGAAGAAAGACTTTGGGCTTGTTCTTTTGAGTGAAAAACTAAAAAAAAATGTAACTCGAGTTACAATTTTATTCGAGTTCATGTTTTTTTAAGTTTAAACTCGAGTTCAAGTTTTTCTTCAACTTGAGTTTAGAAACTCGAACTCAAATTAATGAACAATATTTTTTCTATTCTTAAAAATACTATAACATTTTCGTTTTAATTCTGATTGAGATGATTTTTTTTTCTATGCGTTGACAACGAAAAGACGAATAAAACCCGACCCATATACCCTATTAAAATTTTTCATCAGCATTGAGTTTTTATTAAAATATTATCTAAATACAAATTCAAGTTTTAACTCACTCAAACACAAACTCACAAATTTTTTTATCTCAAACCATAACTCAAATGTACACAACTTCCCGTTCAGTTCGCTAATTCGAGTTGAGATGTGATGTTGTGTGAGCTTTTTATTATAGCAAAAAAGTTAGATGTGACTGTTTCTGAGAGCTTTTTACTGTAGCAAAACTCGAATCAGCGAAATAAACGGAAAAGTTACAAGTTTAACTCAAGTTATAACTCAAATTCAACTCAAAAATTATACTCAAATTAAACTCTAAAAGAACAAGCCTTTTGTATCATTTGGTGCTCTTAACTCACGGTTGTAGGCTTTATGCTTAAAGTGGAGCTATCAGAGTTAGTAAAGGGTTCTCATATATGATTTAAGGAGAATTGTCTGATGGTATTTATCTTCTTTAGGGGAGAATTGTCTGATGGTTGGGTAATGTCGTTATAGTCAGTTAGAGTTTTTGTAAAGATTGTGAGTCGTCGCACTACATTGTTAGAGAGACACTGCTATAGTTTGAGGTTGTAAAATATGCGATTAGAACTCTTTTAGAGGATGCTTTCTAAAGTATAGTTTGCTAGCTTGCTTTTTGGGTTTGACATTACTGTGATGTTGAAATTTTATGCTGTTATTTGTTCTGTTGTTAGTTAGAAGTTGTTGTGATTAAAAAAACATATAGGTGTTTGGTAAATTTATTTTAAAAAAATCGTTGTGAATACTAGAAGTAGAAATTTAAGTGTTTGGTAAATTATGTATAAAATATATGTGAAGATGTATAATGACTAAAATAATCATACTTTAATACACATACTTATAATTAGCTTTATTTATATTTTTATAGTCAATATTCATAATATTTATACACCAAAAT